TACATTTACCGCGAATAATAAATTAGAAAAAAAGCATCTTAACAAATAGCAGTTATCATGGATGCATGCAAATGAGATGCAAATGAGACAACAAGCATTGTATCGACCCGATAGCCTCACTTGTATGATTCTTAAAACAAATGAATTTCTCATTGCGGGCTCAACTGCAATAACAGCTCTTGAGGCTAAAAATATTCTATAGTAAAATCAAGAGAGCATATAAATAAGAGAGGGAAACTTACTAATATCGCGCGCGCCATGTGAAATCCATGTTGGTAAAATAGTCCCCTTCACAGTTCCCTGCGCCATCTTGAAAGGTAGCCGTGCCTTTGCATCGAAGCGAGACGAACGGTGAGCTTGCAATGATAGAGACRTGTGAATAATTGTCCAAGGTGTTAAAAAAAGGTCTCTATCATTGCAAGCTCAACGTTCGTCTCGCTTCGATGCAAAGGCACGGCTATACCTTTCAAGATGGCGCAGGGAACTGTGAAGGGGAATATTCATTGGCTGACGAGGGAATTCCTCTAATACTATKATTTAACTATTGTTGTTGGACTTGTTAGGAACCGGAAGCGACTCCTCACAGCGGCTATGCAGGAGGCTATAGAAGAACAAGGAGGATTCCCTTTCTAGCGCCGCCATCTTGGAAAAAAAAAAAAAAACAAAAACAAGAAGAGAAGGCCCTGGGAACGAGGTTGGGAGGATTCAACCAAGACTACAAGCTGCTAATTTGAATAACTCTTGGCAACGAAACTTCTTGCAGTCTCGAATTAATTCAGTCTGTGCCAAGTGAACCGTTGTGCAAAAGTCGTGAATACTGAATACATTTATTTTTGTACTTTATATATATTTTTCATATTTGGTCCTATTTTTCCAGAAGAATTTAACCATTTTCAAGCACTAAGTAAARATCAAGATTTTTCCGAGATGCACGTGCACACTTTAGGAAAACAGTTGAACAGTTTGCTTGAAAGCCAATTAAAACCAAACTTTTTGTATGTAGCGCTTCGAAGAAAGCGAGTATAATTGTGGCTTTCAATTCAGCTAAATGATAATTTGTGAACACTTCTTCGTAAAGTATTCCAAAGCTTAGTTGCAAAGTATCTTGATGAATATGCACCACATATTTAGTGGTATTARCAGATGGTATTGCTAAGGATTGCTCTCCTCGTAAATTATACGATAACTGCATGTCTTTTCTCAAGGGTTGACTATGGAGGAGCTAARAAATGAATGATAGATTTTAGAATGCCTTGCTACATCGTACCTTTGCATTATATTTTCACAAATCAATTTTGGTATGTGCGCTATGTGCATTAAAGGTGCGATTACACTGAGCAATTTTCTCTGCAACTTGTTTTGCAACAGCAATCGTTGCCAAAATTAGAAACGAATTCTACTTTTCGCAACGACTGTTGCAACTTGTCTCGCAACGTTTTAAAAATTGCGCTGTAGGTTGGGAAACCTATTTATCTCAGCCAAAATTCTAGCTAAAAGAAGTTTTAGATACGAAGATACGTGCCATCGATTGTGCCCATAATTTAGTTGAAATGTATGGGTCCGYCATCTTGGTGGTGGCCAAATCATGAAGGTTAAAAGTAATGTTTGTATTGCAAACACTTCAATTTATCAATAACAATAATCATATATAAAAATATTYAAAGTTACTAATCATCTACTAAGTTAGGAACGTATTATTTCAATCAAWTTTCCCTATTTCTAATGCTTTGAAAATGCGAATTGATAGAATCAATAAAAACAACTAACTATTTTACAAACGTTAAATTCCAATTCAATGCGTGAGTTACTCTGCTGACTTCTATCAGCCCAGTGGTCGTTTCAGAATTCGAGAGAAGAAAAAAATAAATTGGTAGTTTTCCTTGTCTGCTTTAATAAATGGCCTTAACAAAGCAAAGTTGATCGTACATTATATTATTATTATTTAGCTTTTGATGGATAGCAAGCATTCCCAAGAGAGTTAAAAGACAAAAGCATGGCGTCCATCGTGGTGCCGTTAACGATAGATGCTAATAAGAAATCTTTTGTTAAAAGGCACCAACGCTCCCCGAGAGGCTGCGATGACGTAACGTGCAATTCAAATGTGTTCATTTTGATATRCAGCATGGAACAGGCACCGACTGTTGAAAATTGTAAATGTCTGTCTTATAATTGATGTCTTAGAATACATGCATTGTTTGGTTGGACACTCAAGCGTAGCCGGGATCTGTCTATTGTTTTACTCAAATCTAACTAGTCGGTCAAACATATCAGATGCAAAAAAGTTTTAAATTAAAGTCAAATTTAATGTTTTGGTTTTCAAAGCCGGTACCTTTCGCTACTAGTAGGCTATAACTTATAGCCTAGTAGTACTAGTAGCCCATCCAATCAGAACGCAGCATTGTATGATAGACTACTAGTTGGATTTGGCTAAACCACTATATGTTGTACCTCCTGAACGCCTCGATGTTGTCAATGAGAGTCTGTTCTTCATCCGCTCCCCCTCCAAAAAAGCAAGATCGGCTCTYAGGCAGACACGTTTTCGCCTGTCCCTCGATGTCTGCCAAGCAAACAGGCCCAGAATAGTCTTTAGACATGGCTTCTTCTTGCTGGATGCTTTACCATTGGCTCAGTTCAAACGGTTCGCGGTGTTTGTGTATATGCCAAGAGGGGCTGAAATGAAACTGAATAAATTATTGCCTTTTCACACAATAACCGCATTAGACCTAGCCTCCTTAKCAGGCGTCCTTTAGGGCGGACCTAAAAAAACATAGTTAATTGATATATGCTAGACTTACGCCAAGTCAACCTTTTTTGTCTCTTGCRAGAGTTTTTTCAGTGTTACTTGTGCTTCTGTTGGAATTGCCCTTCGCGCAAGAGAGTTAAAGATGTTTTTAGTGATAAACAGCCTAAGACCTCAACCGTGAAACAAATACACCTTTTGCTGTTCATTAACCGCAAAGGAATATTCATTAAAGCGAAGAAGCCTTGTCATTAGAGCGAACAGACATACAATAAGGCGAACGGAGTCTCAATAGTGCGATGGAACGTTCATTAAGAAATTTAACATTGAATTTGACAATCATGAATATGTTTGCGTGGATTCATTAACGTTTTCAAACTTTCATTAGCGTTTTGGTGCAGACAATAAAATACAACACACATTCAATACAGCGTTTTGGACATTTATTTACGCAATACAATATAAGTATATTTTCCACTAGGAATTTTAGGATTTTAACTGTCTTTTCATTTTTTTTTTACAAGCCGTGAATATGATTTCGTACAAACAAAGCGCCGTTAGGTATAAATA